TTGCGACATCGCGACAGGATTGGTTCTACCAAAAACACCAGCACCTGCCTGGCAAACTCAAGGAATAGAAGCCTCTTAGTGGAAGAGTACCAATAATCTGGATGAAGTTACAACAGACCAATGCTTTGACCTTGTTAAGTGTCTATGGGCCCAATTTGAAGGGAAATTTTTAGTGCTCCCTGCAGAATGGCAACGATGCTCTGTCCAAAGTGATGAATCCATCATTGATATGGAGGATTTCAATATCTATGCTGGACAACACATTGAAAAGTGGAGAGGTGTGATTGAAAAAAAGGCCCTCGTGACCTCAACAACAACGGCATGAAATTGTTGCGGTTTTGTGCAAACTACGGGCTGTCCGAAGAGCGAATCGGCCTTCCTGGCACAAGACAGTTTGTGTACGGAAGTCGATGATCGATTTGATACTCGTATCCTACCACGTACCATGCTCCGTAATGGAGGCTCACGTAAAAAAGTCGCAGATCTGTAAACTGATCATCACAGCAAAACTGTTGTGGACACCCTCCGCAGTAAATGATTGAGAATCATGAGACACCTTGCGGCAAAGGCAACCATAGAACCTAATGGAAGACATTGATTTTGTGGATACGAGGGCATAACCTACAGACAGTACTGCACGACGGTTTGAAAGATCCCAGAATTACGCTACAGCCAACGTGGTAGCCAAATGAAAGCTTTCGAAGAGTAGATTACTTGGCAGTACCCAAAAGTTGCGGTTCAAAACAGGTTGGCCGGTCCACTGATGTTCAGCCCAAGCTTCCTGGTAGAAACCAGACGTTCCAATTGGGAAGCAAATGCAGATGTTCAGCGTGAAAAAAGCTGCAGTGAAAAGGTGGCTTGGAGGCACAGATCCTTCACCTTGAATGCGGTACGAAGAAGCACACCAAGTGGCAGCGAAAGAAGTGGCTAAGGCAAAACTGATTCCTGAGAGAAGTTCGGTTAGGTGCAGGAGTCGAATTTCCAAATGGCAAACTAGGTATTCTGGGTAATCATCAGCCAACTCTGAGGTGAAAAAAAGTCGGTCTCAGAGTCTTGAAGGACAGCACTAGACACCCTCTTACCAAGGATAAGGGCCTTCTTCGGCGATGGAGAGACACTTTGAGGAACTCTTTAACCGTGAGCAACCGCAGGAAGATTCATTTGTAGAGCACCAGGAAACGGATATCTCTCTTTCTATGAAATTACACAAGCTGTGAGAAGCTTGAAAAGTGGAAAAGCTGCTTGAATCGATGAAACCTGCCCTGAAACGCTTAAGGTATTAGGCGAATAAGACATATGCTGGCTTACACGTGTCTGTCAAAGTGCGATGACTGCAAGAAAGACAACAGAGGAGTGGAGACCACAAGGTCCAATTGTAGGGACATTAACATTACGTTATTGTACCTCCCAGCTAAAGTCTACGCAAAGGCGCCAGAAAGGAGGAGCCGCGAAATAACTAACTCAGTGACACAGGGAAGGCAGCGTGGCTTTGGGTTAAGAGGAAGCACCTCTGGTCATTATTCCATATTGTTGAAAAATCATGGGAGTTCGCACATGCGGTTTACGTGTGCCTTGTGAACCTGGATAAAACCTATGACCGGATCCGGCGCAACAAGTT